ATATTTATATTGTACTCATCTGTTATTATATTTATCATTTAATTTGACAAAGTAATGAGGTTGCGATACGTGACACAGATGCCCATCTTGAAACAGTCAAACAGTGCTTTGAGTTCGCAATACTAGATGTTACAGTGTTACCGTCTATTGTGTTAGACGTTTGATACAATGTTAATAGCAATATCCAGAAGTACATTTTTACCTTACTCATCCTTTTTTGCTTGCGTTCAGCAATGCTCTGTTTCCCATTCAGACATTTTCACACATGGTGACAGCCACAGCCAATGCTTGTCGAATTTAAGAGGGGTAACTCAAAGCTAACTCGACAGTAGTTTCTGAAGAGATATGCATTCAACCCCCCCCCCCCCTATTAATCCCCGGAGGGAAATTCGATTTTCATTGCAGCCAGATACAATAAAACGACAACAGGTACTTTGAACACAGCTACAAATGTACCTAAAATAAATAAGCATGAATAACCAGAAAGACTGAATGGATAAGTTAGTTAGGTTGTAAATAAAAGTGCTAGTGTGGTAAGGTGATACATGATTATGGAATAATAAGAGAATTGTAATAGAGCAAAAGTGCTCGAGTGCACCGGATGTGCAGAAGAACTGTGTCTCACATCACCAGCACTCTGTCCTCCACCTCCTCCTCCATTTGGATCCAATGACACACCCAGTCTTCTTTAAAAGTCTGTTGGCATCCTTCGCTTTGATGCATGTGCCCCAGCACAGCACAAACAGACTGGTAGAACATGTGGAGCCATTTGTTTCATACTGTACGTTGAAGGACCTGAGCCTTCTCGATAAGTCAAATAGCAACAAAACGTTGAGTGATGCCACCTGTCAAGTTGGGCAGACACAAATTACCCGTTTGAATTCCCATGGAAAGAAAATTCTGTTTTTCCATGGGTCCAGGCCGATCCGCTTTAGCCATGCCAAGCCACGATGACATACATTTCCACTGCAGCCTCACAGCAGGGGATTTCCCCCCCCGATAACCTTACTATATAGATAACAGTACTTGTGCAGCCTCTACCTGAGTCTCTGTGGCTGTGAGTTTAGTGTCACTCCTGTATTCCTGTTTGTGCTTTCAGAAATCAACCTTACTTTACTGTCACGGCTGTTTAGTTGACAATTTATTATGAAGAACTTGTAGGAAATGCAATGGGATTGTTACCAAGTTAGCTGGGCTTCATTAGCAGTTCTATTGAGGGTCTAATTATTTCGATATGGACATATTCTGCAGTGTGAAAATATTGCAGGGAGGAACAGGATCAGCAAGCTGGAAAGGACCACAGGCAAGAGGCTGTTACATATTTTGGATCACACCTTATCCACACAAGCTTTTGTTAGAAGGTTAATATTTACTGTTCTATCAATTATTTGATTGAATTAAACCTGGGTGTTTGTACTGCATTAACCAGTTCTGCGCTGGCAGGCATGCATCTGCATGAGTGCGTCTGTGGTCAACAGTCAAAACACAATGCATTTAACCGACACACCAAGGGACCTGAAAACCCCACTAAATTGTCTTTTTGGTTTTGCCGTTTCACCAATCGATGCAAGAGGCGCCTCAAAGCGGTACCCGTAAATCACTTTGAATCCCAGATCACCAAATCCTCTTAACGCACGAATACAAAAACATCAACGCGTCTTCGCCCTGTAACCGGTGGGTTCTTGTGTTGATTCCATTATTGTCCGGCAAAGTGAGCGCTGTGACTCGAATGAGACCCTGGAGAGAGAAAAAAGCTAAATCGAAGGAGAGATGGGGGGGGGGGGGAAGCATGTGTGGTCTTATATAAAGCCCAGATGGTCCCAGAGAAGCATGTGACATAGAAATGGAGGGATATGGAGAGAGGGGTGTCTGTCTGTCTGTCTGACTGACTGACCCGGGGGCTCCCGGGAGCCAACACCACAGGCTACAGCACCTGGGCGGAGAGAGGCAGACATCGAGGTCAGTCGAGGGACAGAGGGATGTCATGACAAACACAACTTTTGCCATAACGGCAGACCACAACCTGCGGAGAGTGTGTGAACTTGTGGGTCATACTCTTACCTGTGGCTGGATGGATCAACAGTGATAACACAAGCAGATACAAGAGCTGCGCTGCATTCTAGTCCACCGAGGACGCTGTTGGTGGAGAAATTGTTCTGCACAGCTTTTGTTTTGGAATTGTCTTGTTGTTGCTGTTAGATGCTGGGCTTTGAATTCACGCACATGGACATTTCCCTGGTGTCTTTATGTGCGAGCGCACCGGCAGTCATCAATTAACACGATGAAACATATGCATCAGAGTATAGACCACCTCATCAGAGCTTTCCACCGATTTCTTACATAAATGCCAACGACAGCATGAAGTCTTTCACATTCAATGAGGCCAAAATAGCAGAAGTTATAATTCCTGATTATTTATAATTTGTTCTGTTCAATTATGAGGCTGAATAGATGCACGTTTTGATACTAATTATTGCGTCTGTATGAGGTACACTGCAACAACTCAGGGCCTAGTTTTCAGAATATGAACAACCTCTACACATGCCCTCTACTAGTCGATTTAAACTGTGTGATTTAAACTGTGTGCCTGTCTTGAACTTGTCAGATTTAGAGAGTGTGCACCAAAGGTTCAGGGGTCATTGCTATTCCCTACGATTTCTCTCCTTTTCTGTTCGTCAGCGGCGTAGAGCAGAGCCCGGCTCTCAACCTGCGCGCTCACGCATTGCATGCGTATCTTCCGAAGGCGCACACCTGGCGTTCGATAGAGTCAGACGTACAAGATGTACGGCCGAGCTCCGGGTGCAACGAGAACACACACAGCTGCACTCGGCCCCTGCTTGTCCCCGGCCGCTCCTTTTCCATTCCAAAGTCGGCCCCCGGACGGAGACGGCGTAATGCGCGAGCCCCGCTGCGATGGATGGGGTTTCTGCTCGCACACTGCTGTGACCGTGGCCTCTCTCCGAGCAGCCTCCCCCGCCCACGCCAGCAACACTTTGTGTTTGCTGATCTTCTTGTCCGTCCCACCTGCAGCCCCCACTCCAGCACAAATAGATAGGGTCAAGGATGCCGGAGAAATGCTCTGTGTTTTTCCCCTCCTGACATGCAAACACAGCCAGACTCGAAGACAAACGACGGAGCTTTGTTTTTTCTACATGGTTGTTTTTGCTGTCCGATGTTCTCTCTCTCTCTCATTAGTCACGCTTGGCGTTGCATCAGAGTTGAACTACAGCACCAGGGGGAGGCAAAATATGGAGGTTGTTGTGTATTTTTTTTTTCTGTTGACACTTTTTGCTGAGGAACAAGATCTGTCTCTGCGTCAGAAGCGGTGCGTTCCTTCAGGAACGAGGTGTGTGTTTGTGTCTGAGCAACAAGCTATCCTACAGGGATTGGGCGTCCTGCGGCGGTTTTACAGAATTTGAACAAAACATGATTGTTAATTGTTTTTATACAAACTCCGCTGCAACATCTTGGTCACAAATAAAGCTGGGTTTGTTTTTGTTTTTTTTCAGCAAAATGACTCGTTTGCTGCAAATATGGAGACTGATTTTATGACCAGCATTCACGGTTTTGTCTGGCTATTCATTCATTGAGCCTCTGAAAACCAGGCTCTGCTCTACGCAGATAACGTGGGCAGCATGAATGAGTGAATGAAGGTTTTATTAGTGTGCACACAGCTGTGCCTAGCCCGCATAGACACCATCAGTTCATATAAGCCAGAACCAGAGTGCTGCGTCTACATTTTCAAACATAAAAAAGTCCAGAAATCTGATCTCCAGTCCTTCATTGTTTACAACTAAATTATTAAACCACTCACAGATAAAATATATTAAATGAATACTGGAAACATCTGAGTAAATACTAATTAAATAATCGATCTTGCCTTCCTTGTAAAGCTTGCAAGCCAATTATTCAACCATCTGTACTGAATGTTTCAGGAATGTGTTGCACCATTTCATGGAAAAGTGACTATTGAATCATCATAGTTTGTGCCGAATCATACAGGAGAATACCAGTTCTCAACTCCAGATAAACAAGATGTAACGTGTGAGTGAAGGCCAAACTTTTGTTTTATATGCATATATGTCCTTAATTTTGGCTTTAACAGCACATTTTTAAACCGTTTTTCCTGTTATGCAGCATAACCACCTCTTCAAAAATCGAGGATTGAGCTCTTTTGCCCTTGGTGAAATGAACGGTTTACTCCACGTAAATATCTTTTCTTTTGTTTTCTCCTCTGCCATTTTAATTTGGCGACGCCACGGTCGGATCATTGGAAGCGAATATGTAAAATAACCAGGATCATTACATCATTTTAGTTTGTTAATGACTGATCCGAGAGCCGTCTTTACTCATCCCTACAAGTGAAAGAGTGTACCGAGATTAGCAGTGTCTATTTTTTTTATCCGCTAGTGCACGAGTGTCTTCACGTGCGCCAGAAAAAACCGACAGACAGACAGACCCAGCTGAGGTTAGGAAGGAGGTCAGGAGAGAGGGACCATCTGATGTCAGCAGATGGAGTGATGGAGGGAGGGAGGAGAGGAGAAGAGAAGCTCGGAATCAGGACGACAAGACCAAATGCTTATCGGCTGTTTTTAAGGCGCAGATTTCACTTTGCATCCCGTCTGCTCCAGCGCGCCCACCTTATGCCAGACTTTGGGGGTAGAGGAGATAGTATGTTACAGAAAGTATTTAATAAATGTGAGTGTGAGCGTGGCACAGGAGAAATTCCACTCTGCGTGCGAACATGTTAATTATTCACCCTTGTTGCGTGATACAGATAAAAAACACAGCTTTGAATACAGCCATTTGGCCAAACAAGGCCTTTCAGGATGCTCTTCTCCGTCGCAGCATCCACTTCTGATTCGGTAAAATAGGTGTGTGTGTGTGTGTGTGCAGTGCAGTCGCTGGACCCGCCGCCGAGGCGTTATCTCAGAAACGCATTCGCTTCCCCTGCCACCCAAAGTCACCCTCTGTCTCTCTCCTTGTCTTTGTTGTTGTAGAATGGAGCAGTTCCAGGAGAGCCAGCGAAGAAGGATGAAAACTCCCGGAGAGGGAACTGGGGCAACCAGATCGAGTTTGTCCTCACCAGCGTGGGCTATGCCGTGGGCCTGGGCAATGTCTGGAGGTTTCCCTACCTCTGCTACAGAAACGGAGGAGGTATGCACGTCAACGTAGAGCCCAGTTCATTCCTACCGAGTTATTAGTGGAGGACTTTATTATCGCTGGCCAGTGACACGCCACATAAATGCCGCAGAGTGCAATTTAAATGTACATGCGGTACATAATACGTTCATAGAAAGAGTTCTTCAATTCATGACCACAGAATCAAGTGTAATGTTTTGACTCCCAATAGCTCTAGAAATAGAAATAGAGCACAGCTACTGGGTTGCACTGGCTATTTGTAAATCCATCCCCAGGTTTGTGTGTAATATACTCACATTACAACAACTAGCTGTTAAATCAGGTCACTCCATTAAAGATCAAGGAATGTCTCAGCCGGTGAAGACTTGTAAAACGGTTGCTAGGAAAGCATCTGTTGCGTAACTTTAAATTTAACAGTTTAAAGGGATAGTGCTGGTTTTTAGTATTGGGGTTGTATGAGGTACTTATCCATAGTCAGTGTATTAATTATAGTAGATGGCGGTCAGCACGCCCCCAGTTTGGAGAAACAGACAGGAGACCCAGCACTGGAGCAAAGCAAAAGAAAGGCCCACTTCAAAAAAATCCATATCAGTTAAAGTGTACACTGTATGTAGAATATTTTCATAGCTTTAGTTTGCCGTTAGACAGCACTCTCTGACGTGGGAAATTAAGCCGTTCTATTCATGTACGCTCGCTTCAAAGCCACCAGACTCCTGCTTGACAAAAACAATAATTTGACCCTGCAGAACACAGAAGCTGCTGATTCTGGTTACTTTGTTTGTGTCATGTTGTGACTTTGGTGAATCCGAACTACCCCTTTAAGAATGAAAACAATACATTCAAACCTTTGTTTTTTTGCACACAGAAGAAATGTGTGTGTTTCACTGTTTGAATATTTATATTCATACAGCTTTAGAATAAGAGGGAAATCTTATTACAAAACCTAACTGACTTTATTTGGTCCTTTTAGTCTGATCATCATTTGTGACGACATTGAAAGTATATTGTGTATTTTTGTAAAGTACAATATAATCTTGCCAATTTACATCGCTAAACAGATCGGATGTATCAACCATATTCCGTATTAGCGCACTTACTTCAATCCAATGCATCTTTACAAGCATCAAACTTAGTTTTGTGTGACTACATGATTGTTAATTGGGGTGTGAATGCGGTCGAAATGCGTCTCAGTGCACAGAACGGATCCAGCTGCTTCTCGCTGCCTCCGCTGACGTGCTGCATTACGCTCTGCAGCCTCGGCTTTCAACGCGTAAGAACATGATGAGAACAAACTACATCGAAGTCTTTCTGCCCTCAAATCAAATGTATCCTAAAAACTCTGCATTAAATGGACTAAAGTGTGTTCTAAATTGTGCTAGAAAATGTACCACAAAAGTGACAAAGTATGGCGAAAGTCAGAGTTTGGTCAGGGTCCCGTAACTCAGTGACTCAGACCTTTCCCACTTCAGTTCATATGTTTATGCCGCAAATATTTGGATTAGTGTTATGCATGTGGAAGACCTATCACTCCCATACAAGGATGCGGGATATGTAGGTCGTACATTAGCTCACACACAGCTGCAAATGGGGCGGAGCGCTCAGGAGAGCTGAGTTTTAACCGGCAACTCAACGAGAACGATAAGTTTTTGGTATTGCATATTCTCAGCTGGTTGCACCGACCCAGTTTGCATGCGGACGCTCATACGAAAGCGCACACACACACACAGATGTTCCCTATAGATGACTGTCTGCTTTCTGGTTCAGTCTGAACAGAAGAGAAGTTCACACTAAAACTTGCACAGGATGGAAAAGGAATATTAATCATAATTTGGTTTTGTCCCATGTGTTATAATTAGTTTGTTGCTGCACCGCGGAACAGACTCAGCTGCACATGCAGTGACCTCTCTGCTCACCCAGGGGAGGTCGCTTTGACAGATGAGGTCTCTGTTTTCTTTTTTTAAATGTTTTCTTTTTTTTGCGGATTACAAATGTCATTCAAGTTTTGTTTTTACATGTATTTGTTGTGTGTATATGACTTCATTACGATATATTTCTAACGTTTCCAATTGCAGTGTGTTGGTCTTGCCCACGCGTATCTTGGAGTTAGAGGTAGAATCCTTTCATTCCTAGCCAGTTATCTCAGCCAACACTTTAGATTCTTGACATTGTTTAGATATATAATGTCTGATTTATTTCGTCTGTCACTGCCTATGGATCAGGTTCCTCCACATTCTGTACTGTTATCTCGCTCTTCTTACTGTACAACTGTACATAGCATAGAATGTAACTGACGTATTTGCCTGCTTGGCTTCTGTGCTTTTGTCTGGAAAAAAAACAAACTGTCCTCACCGCAACGGTAATAACTACATAATGCACAAATTAGTAATCTTGGAATGTAATTTTCTGTCCTCTTGCATGGCTCACTGTGTGTCTTAATGCTGCTCATATGCAACTTCTGGTCGTCCCAGAGCAGGGAACATGACCGTCACTGAGTGCCTGTCCTATTGGCTCCCCCCCCCCCCATCCAGGTGCCTTCATGTTGCCGTACATCATCATGCTGGTGTTCTGCGGCATTCCTCTCTTCTTCCTCGAGCTGACCTTTGGTCAGTTCGCCAGCCTGGGGTGTCTTGGAGTATGGAAGATCAGCCCTATGTTCAAAGGTTGGTGCCAATGTGTTTGTGGACTTGCATAAATCCCATAAATACATACATTTTTGGGGATAAAATGTATATATTTGTGTTGACAAACTCACAAATTATTGTGAAATGTAACATATATATCGGCCAAAAGGCTCTGAGTTGAACTTAGCTTAGCTTAGCTTTGCACTTCTATCCTGAGGATGCAGCATGACCCATCATGTAGAAGCCTCACATCCAAGTTCTGCTGTTCTCCCATCCTGTCCCCTTCTCCCTCCAGGCGTGGGCTATGGCATGATGGTGGTGTCCACCTACATCGGGATCTACTACAACGTGGTCATCTGCATTGCCTTCTACTACTTCTTCATGTCCATGACTAACTTGCTGCCGTGGACCTACTGCAACAACCCCTGGAACACACCGGACTGCAGCGGGGTGGTGGGCCCCGGCGGCAATCGGCTCAACGTTAGCTTCGCTAACGCTACCACCAGCCTGGTGGCCGGGGTGGCCGAGGTGGTCAACCGCACCAAGAGGACCAGCCCCAGTGAGGAGTACTGGAAGTAAGTCTCTGAAGTACACCGACAATATGTAATTCATTAATAATTGCTCACTGAACCCAAGATGCAGGAATATAGTGAAAAGAGTATCCTCGTCATAGTTTTAACTGAGCACGGATAAGTATGATGCCGAGCTTTGTTTTGGCCAACCTATGCAAGTAACCTCTTTGGACCCAGGTTTACAGGGCTATCGTACTTGACACAGAGGTCAAAAGTGTCGTGTCCCTGTGAGATAAGCTCGCCACAAACATGCCTCATTTGCAGAAAGAACTCAAATATTTGGACTAGATTTTACTGGCAGCGAAGATCTGAGCAGTGTGGGACAGCGAGATAGTGAGGGACACGCAGGAGGAGTCCGGTTTTACAATGGCACTCTTTGGGACAGCTCTGCTTTAATGGTGCAACCACTAAGCACTTATCAAATCAGCGTTAAGTGCGAGGTCATGTGTGGAAGGTCAACGAGGGTGTTTCCAAGTGCACCTGCAATTGAAGCTCGTATAGAGTCGGTGCAGCTGTGTGGAAAAGGCTTTGGCGAAGTGAAATATACATCAGTGTGGTGATCGATTATGCTATAGTACATTACACATCTGGATGGGAGGGAGAGAATCGCCTCAGATTTGAACTGTCTCAGGTTGTGAATACAGAGCAACGGTTTAATGGACCAGAAGTACAGATGTTTTGTTTTTGTTTTGTTTTTTACAGCAGCCTGGTGTCGGTCGCACATGACTTGATCAAGGTCCCAAGCAGTGTATCATCATGTGTAATGGGCGGCCGTGGCTCAATGGGTAGGGAGGGTCGTCCGGCAACCGCAAGGTCGGCGGTTCGATAACTTGGCTGTGCCGAAGTGTCCCTGAGCAAGACACTGAACTCCTAACTGCTCCCCGGGCGCTTCTCAGCAGCCCACTGCTCGGGATGGGTTAAATGCAGAAGTTACATTTCATGTATGTGTGTGTGTATATGACGACTCTAATAAAATATCCTTTTTGTTTTTTTGAATGGCTCTGCATTTCAGATGTAAAACGCAAATCCATCCTGCTGCTGTCAGCTTTGCCTTTTTAATTTGCATTAGACTTTTTTTTAAAATCTAATACTGGTGTTTTATTCAGTATTAATTGTTAGTTTTGGCACAGGTCGACTGTAAATGCAGAAGAGATGGTTTTAACCAAAATACCATGACTGTGCCTCGTGCTGTCATTTCTCAATGCACCTGTTCTTCCACCGTTGCACCTCGCGGGATCCATGAACAAAGCATAGTACGTTTTAAACTCAGGGCAAAACCAATGTTCAGGCACCGCTCTCGTTAGTTTGTATTGATGTTAAAAAAATCACAGATGTGCAGAAAGAGAGCATTAAACAAGTGTCACTAGGAGGAATGTTTGTTTGGCTAATACTAGTTAACACTTTATTGTCTGTGGCATGATTATCCTCAGTGTTTCATGCATATTAATACTGTCATTTAGTATCACTTCCATTTAAAACCTCTTGCACACGACGCCCCCAAATTTGGGGGCTCTCGGGCTCAGAACCCCTGAAAATCATGTACGGAAAATAGCCTTATTCTTCGGTAATATTGTGGATTGGTCCAGTTTTTTTTTCTGGATTAAACAGCAACGTATGGGCAACACTATCATATAAATCACTTCTTACACACTCCAAACACAACTATAGGCTACTAATATAAGCATCTAGAAAACGTGGCATAAAAGCATGAAATCCTGGCCAGAAATCGCCGTTATGAGTACCGCAAATCAATATTTGCACCCTGATGCTAGCGGCTACCAAGCCATGCAATGCATTTTATAGCATTAGCACTCGTGGCCAAACGCGTAAATAACTTCGGTTTTCCGCTCCGTGGGAGCACTACGAATCTGTGAGTGGTCAAACGTACCTTCGTACTGCCCTCCGCCGAAAAAAATCGTAGGTATGTGGCCAAGTTTTATGAAAAATGAGTACAATAACGTCGCAGATTATCCGTTTCAAAGCTGGAGTCATTGTTGCCAACTGCATCCTGTTTACTTCCGAGCTGTTTCCAGAATAAGAGCGGTCAATCCTGCATGGGCGAGCGGTCAGACTTTCGGCGAGCAGAAATTTACGCCTGGGGAGACGCGGCACTTCTTGCAACTTTACTGGTTGAAACTTCTGTCAATCAACACCAAATTCGACACAGGCCTTCCTGAGAAGCTAATGCATCAAAGGAGGCCTTATTCACTGAAATCGACCGATGATAGGCTGAGATACAGCCCCATACACACACATGAACTGAGAAAATCCTATAGATGACAGCCAGAAACAGGCTCTGATGATGTCAGGAATCTCAAAATGATTCCTAACAGCTGTATTTGGATGTATTGAATAATATGAGTGATAAAAAAAGTGAAATATATAGTTATATATTATATAAAAGTACAGTGTAAGAGCTGCAACAGCTGGTTCGAAAATGATGACCTCGCTTGACCGCTCTCTACTAAAGCCTCTTATTCTTCACTTTATCCCACTTTAACCTTTATTCAGCAACTACTGATCGGTTGTGCTATGATTTGGGAGAGTTTTTAGGGAGATATCTGCATTATTTCAACAACCTTATATCAGTAAAATTGCTTTTTTTTCAGGCGAACCTGATTATTTTCAATTTGAGCTGTGTAATGTCTTCATTACTATATTAACCAGCAACATATACACAATATTACCCATCTGAACAATCTCACAAGTGTTGTGATCTGATTATATCAACAAAAATTATTAAAATAGACCTTGTAGTTACAGAACTATGGTCACTTTAGTGTGGGTATGCTATTTTCGAGCAGAGGCCTACAAATAGGGCCCGAGCTTAAGAGGTTAATAACGCCCTTAAGTAGTATTTCAGAGTAAACTATGTTTGGGGGAAACTAGAGCCTCATTTTTGTTAATGTCCCTCTCTGGATCCCAGGTATTCATTGCTTTCTGTCTTTAATTCCGAGTTAGTAATGGAGCAACACGGGTCACCAAAAAGCCAGTAAATGATAATTTTTCAAAAAAGAACGTAGCCCCGTGAATGTCTTTGTTCATGGCTTTAAGTATTGCATGGATTGACTTGAGCAAAGACAAATATGGCTGCAAGCAGCAGTGATCGAGGTCTTTGCTGATTGAGAATGAGCTCTTGAACGTGTCTGTCCTAACTTAAAACTCTTTGGAAACTGATAAAGTAGCACAGGTATTTGAGAAAAAACTGAGAAAAAATTGCAAAATGTGACATTTTTAGAGCATAAGACCATTGGAGCAAAGGTGCAGTTGAACGGAGAGACTAAAATGCCACAAGAATTTTGACACTATGCCAAGCCGTTCTCGAGATAATGGTACAAACTTAAACTTGATCGTTACAGCACCATCTTGAGGTCAATGAGTGTCACTTTATGTGCCTGAGCAGTAAGTGGAATTTGACAACCCAGCTGCCAATTTCGGCTTACATTTTTGGCTTCACCAACTCTTTTAGAGGAGGACAAATAAGAAAGAAAAGCAGCTTTCGCTGTGCTTGGACCCCTAATTAGTGTCTTCTGCCTGCTGAAGAAAGCCATGTTTGCTTAGCTTAGTCATTAAGGGCTTATGTTGATTTTAATGTTTGCAATGAAAATTTCTCATGAAAAAGTAAAGCAACAACTGACGTCCTGAGTTCAAAGACCTGTAAATGTGAAATAATTGAACATGTGATTCTCTCTCTTTCTCAGACACTATGTGTTGAACATCTCCGATGATATCGGGAACTTTGGAGAGGTCCGTCTCCCTATCCTAGGCTGCCTGGCTATTTCCTGGTTTGTCGTCTTCCTCTGTCTCATCAAGGGCGTTAAATCCTCTGGAAAGGTCAGTCTCTCACACACACACACACGCACACACACTAATACTCATAGATAGACATCAAGGCTTGACCACATGCGAAAACAGACATAATATTGCTGCAGTAAGTCTATTTTCATTACATTGCATTACGCATTTCTTACAGGCATTCTTGTCTTTCTTGTCACAATGGTAGGTTTTGCTAAGGAAGATAACTACTTCCAACTGATTTCATCACATGGTCTGATTATCTGTGTGTGTGTGTGTGTGTGTGTGTGTGTGTGTGTGTGTGTGTGTGT